CTAAGCCAGCAATAAACAAATCCTAATTGCCAATGTTACTGAGAAATCCTTAATGCTAGTGTGAGAAATCCTAATTACGCATAAACTGAGAAATCCTCAACAATTCGAACTTGATTTGATCAACATCCACATGAATTCATAAACAATTGGGGGATTCGAACATATTTTGAAGAAAGATCATACCTGTTAGGGTTTTGTTGGTGATCCCCTTTTAGGGCCTGGATTCGAATTCTAAAGAAGGTAGTGAACTCGAAATTTCGTTTGAAGAATCAAGAAAAGCAGATGATTTTCGGTGGGGGGGAAGATTTTAGTGAAAATTAACACTTTAGACCATATATGGTGTAGAGCATATATTCATATTTTTATAACGCAGTAATAATTGTATATAATCTTATGGCAAGGGTTCAATTCATTATACCTCAAACATGTAAAAAAATCTCTTTTAGGCATTTTATCGAACACCTTCAAATCATATTTTTCCAAACAAACTACAACACCCTAACCTATTGCTACAAGCACACCATATATACTTCAATTCATCATTCAAATCGTGAAAATAGAAGAAAATGAATAGAAATTATACCTTAATTGTTGAATTTAGTGATGTGTAGAATCTTTCTCTCGGTCTCGCTCTCTTCTCTTTTCTTACTCTCTACTCTTTTCTTGCTTTCTGTTCGAAGTGAAGAGAAGAAAGCCGTTTTTTTTTTAAATGTAACAGTATGTCAATTTTCAATTAAAAAAAAATCACTCAATAATAAATTTTATAAATTTTTTATATAACTTATAATGTATAAAATTTATTTAAAAAAGAAACGTATATCGAAATGTGCACTAAATCATGTTTTATATGAATGTAATTAAGTTAATCAAGTTTAAATATGATGTACACCATATATGGTCTAGTGTGTAAATGTGCACTAAATCATATATTTTCAAAAGCAACAGTTTTGATTCAATCGGTACATAGATGTATATCATTTTTCAAGATGTTTTGCAGAATAATAAAGAGTAAGACTGTGCCAAATGTGACCGAGGCATTAATTGGTGCCTTCCTTAGTGCGGGAGGCAAAATAGTTGCCTTGTCTTTTATGACATGGATTGGCATAAGTGTCGAATTTATCAGTCTACCAT